CTCCAAAACCTCTTTTCAAAATTTAGTTTGATCTTCCAACTATCTTTCCAACACATCAAAGATAAACAGTCCAACTTAGTATATAGTTCCTTTGAGTCTGCATTGTAAACACTGATACGGACATGCTGCCGAACCTGAAAAACTTTCTGAGCTCTCCGCTGAGCCGAAGTGAAAAAGACAGGGTCTATCAAAATCAACAGCCTAATTAACCCAAAACCTGCATCTCCAAAAGGGTCCCTTTCCCTTTCCACTCGGTTTGCGGTGAGTTAAAGAAGTCCTCTCCAACTTTTTCATCCTGATGAAGCTATCGAGGTCAGGAAGCCCCTCACTTTCAAGGCATCCAAGCCCAACTCGGAGAAACAAACGGGAAGCCAGGGGGCCAGTGAGAAGAGGTCCCCAGCCCCTCGCTCCTGCCCTTTCCAAGATCCCCGCGCTTCGGCCAGACCCTCCAGCCTGCGCGTTCTCCTAGAAGATGTCTCATTACATAATCCCCTTTCCTTAGAGTCACCCACAGAGTCACGGGGGCTCAGGCGATCCCCCGTCTCCCACTCCGCCCTTAGGAAGCTCGGCTGAGTGCACCCGGGGAGCGGCGGCCGGCTGTCCCGACTCACCCGGCGCCGCGACCCGGACCCACTCCCCCTCTCCTCACCCAGGCGGGGCGGGGCCGCGCCTCCACCGCACGCCCCCCGGGTCCCCGCTCAGACCCGGGTCCCCAGCCCCCGCGGGGTCCCCCGTCACAGTCGCTGTTCCAGCCCCTCTCGGGGTCCCCCAACACACCTGCTGTCCCAAGCCCTCTCGGGATCCCCTTGCCGCTGAGAGCCGCTGTCCTTGCCCATTTCAGGGTACCCTCCCTTGAGAACCACTGTCCTGGCTCCTCTGGGGGTGCCTCTTCAGACCCACTTTTCTAGCCCTTCTGGGGGTCCCCTCCCTTCACACCCGCTCTGTCCCAAGTCCTCTCGGGGTCCCCCTCTCAGACCCGCGGGGCCGGCCCCTCTGGGGATCTCCTCTCCACAGTCCAGACTGTCAAACCCACTCCCGGAACTCCCCTCACTCGGGTCCTCGCCGACCCCACTCCGCCCTGGGTCCCCTCGCCCCGACTCATTCTGTCACCTCTCCGCGCCCCGGTGCTCTCACCTCAGACCTTCTGTCACCACCCCGGGCCCGGAGTCGCCGCCGCCGCTTCCTCTCCCACACTTGTTACCGAGTCGCTCTTCTGCCGCTTGTTCCCCGGTGGATCCCCGGGTCCAGTCGTTGAGTGTCCGGTCCGGCCGCGCGGAACCTCCGCCCGCGGTCTTCGCGTCGGGTCCCGCTCTCTCACGTAGGTCCCCACAGCCGCCGCCGCCACCACCGGGAGCCACACGGACCCTCCCGCGGCCGCCGCTGCTGCTGTCCGAGGTGCGGCTCCTGCCAGGGGTGGCCAATCGCACCCGATTGCGCCGAGCGCGCTCCGCCCCGCCGTCCCAGCCCGCCCGCCCCCTGCCCCCGACCACGCCCCCAGCCAGGCTCCGATAGGCTCTCTACTGACCTTCCCTGATCGTGGGGAGCAGACCTGGGGCCGGATATAGGTACTTGATTGGAGGTGCCTGGGACGCCGAGCTGTCGATGGCGCCCGAGGATTGGCGAAGTTGAAGGTGGGCGGTGCGGGACGGGGCGGGGTTTCCTCAGATGCGGAAGAGCTTGCAACTTCAGTTACCCACTGGCCCGCCTCGGGTGCGGTCTGCCTTGTTTGTGCTGAGGTGGGGTCAAAGTTCATGGCACTCCTCACTGAGCCTTTACATTTCTTGGGAGACTCCCAGAGGCCGAGGCCCTCTGGGACTCCCTGGGACCACCATGTTAGAGCCTTTGAGGTCCCCATTCCCCCGTTAGACCTGGCACAGCTTTCTAAGTAATTCTGCCATAAATTAATAATGGCATTTATTTACTCAGGACTTGTAAATTTCCTGGATTTAAAGTCTTTTATATCTTTGGCAAGGGAGTTGCCCTTACTTGCACTGCGTTCAAGAGACGTTAGTTTGATGCTGTTGGGGGAAAAAAATCTATGTACTAGATGCATACTTAGCACACTTAGGCATTCAACACTGACGGGGCACATTTTGATAGGTACAAGGACAAAACTTAAGAAGTACTCACTTTGTGGGTTATAATCATTTTGACAAGTAGGAACAGGAACTGTGTGGTAGGGGAACCCTTGTTAGCTTTAGCAAGGCTTCAGTAAGCCTGTTCAACATATTCTTTTTCAGGGCCACAGGAAATGATTTTAATGATTTTGTGGGAACTAGTGGCCAAAGTATAATGAACTTTGACCCAAGTGCAACTCGTGATAACCAGAGACCCATCTTGATCCAAGCTGCAAGATGGAGCTTGCCAGGGGTGAAAGTGCATGGTGTTAACTCGGAGCCATTCTTTATATATTTTTTGTGAAACTGGATATGTTGATTAAATCAATACTGGAAACTGAAAACTGCTACCTTCACCCCTAAATCCTAAAGTTTATGAACTTTGTGAAGACATTGTTTCACTTCAGGAACACAGTTTGTTCCTAAGCATTGTCAGATGTATGCAGGACTTAGCTCTTAGAAAACTTTCCATCATTAACTCTTTTTTAACTCCTGCTAACAAAATTTGTGTTCTAAACACTATTCATGTTTTTCCTAGTGTTTTAAAATCATACCCATTCCAATTAAGATGCTCCCCTTTAAGATTTGAGTGTTAGGGTATGTAGAGAGGGCCTGTAGAAGAGTGCTGGCAGTACTTCCTCTAAAATGAATTTGGATGTAGATGTCTCCTGAGCGATGTGACTGAGTGCCATTTTGGGAAGGGATGTAGAGTGATTTTAAGGTGGTAAAAAGGGTACTTGGTTTTAAGGGAACTTGATTTTTACAGACTGTCCAAAATCATATTAGACAACTATAAAAGTTGGGTAAGACTAAAGTCATGAGAGAATTTTTTTGACTAGGTCCTCATCCTTTACTGAGTGTTGATGCTACCAGTTGCAATATGGACAGAAGAAATGGGGTAGATTTTCACAATGCAAGTATTCAGTTCTGTCTAGTCATATAAAAAAAATGCGTGATCATTAACAGATGTTATTTGCAGCCAAGAAGACAAGATGTGGGACTTCCCTGGTGGCTCAGTGGATAAGACTCCATGCTCACAAGCAGGGGGCCCGGGTTCGATCCCTGGTCAGGGAACTAGATCCGACGTGCATGCTGCAACTAAGAGTTCACATGCCACAACTAAGGAGCCCATGTGCCGCAACTAAGACCCTGTGCAACCAAATAAATAAATAAATATTTTTTAAAAAGAAGACAAAATGTAAGCAAGATAAAAATGCCAGTGTCTTGAAAGGAAACCAATTAGCAATGATATCAACTCTTTTTTTAAAAAATCGATATATCATTGTATTGATGAACTCTCATTTTTAAAATGTTGGTGCTTGGTTTGGTCTATGATTATTGCTATTGATGGAAACGCAAGTTGGTCAAGATAGTCGATTACAAATAATTTAGACGTGACCTAACAGCGTAAAGAAAATGACTTCATCCTTTGGACAAGAGATAGCTTTGAAATTCTAGTTTAAATGTTGACGGTGGACCCACAGGGAGCCATGAGAATGCCTCTTATTTAGCATTGCAGCATTCCATTCTGAAAATTCTTGAGTTTTGTTGGGAGGAAGAATCCCTCACAAGTACAGGCAAGATTTTAATTACAACAAGGTAGAAAATAAGAAATGTTAAAATAAACGGGATGAGAATATATTTTTTCACTTTGAGGAGACTCTGTGGGGGCCAATTCAGAGATAAATTTGGTCACAAAGGATCTGAGAATGACAATACTGGGTTCCAGTCTGGCTTTTACATCTGTGTTCAAGTTTACTGCTTGTACGTTACTTTTTGTTTTTCTATGGAGACTTGGATGCAACGTAAAGAGTAGGGTTACTTTGGACAAACCATTAACCATCTCTGGGCCCTTTTATCCCTTTTCTTGCTACACACACCAAGACAAAGGACATCCTCAATTTGTTCATTAAGCAAAGCTTATAACACCGTGTCCCCTTCTACTCAGAGATAATCACACAAATTAATTCATGCAGATATTCAACTCTCTTGTTTTCCAAGTTACCAGCTAGCACCTTCCTTTCCTGAGCCTAATTAACTTTCTGCAGGCAAATGTTCCACTTGCTCAGTTGAGAGTTGGTTAGCAAGTTATTGGATTGGGGAAAACCACCTTTTAAAAAATTTATATTCTGAGAAATATGAGGCAGCTGTACTGTAGAGGACCTGGGTCTGAGAGTCTAAACAAGGCAGCCTGGACGCTTTTTTTTTTTTTTAAAGGCAATTGACAACTCTTTTCTTATCTGTAAAGTCGGGATAATACCGTATTGAACAAACCTACACAAAAAGAAAGGACTCCCACAGACTGGGAAAATACAGTTATGCTGACCCCAGGATGGAGTATTAGCAGACTCGTTTTTATTTTAGTTCTTAACAAAGCTCTCATCAGTCAGGGGAGGAGCCACGCTCCTTTTCTTCAGGATGATTACACGAACTCTAAATGTCTAGGTTTCCCGACCTATAAATGGGATGGTTCATGTCGTTCACCTGTTTAAATTAAAGAGACCACCTCCACCTGCCAAGAGCCCTTCAAATCTTCTGCCTCCCAAGTCCCTTAAAAAAAAAAAAACCTCTTTAGTTTTGGCTCCAGGCGGCGCCTAGCGGCTGTTTTCGGAAGTGGCCTCTGAGCTTCGGGGTCCTTGCCGCGGTTGGGCCTACCCAAGGATTTGCCTAACTCCAGAGAGCCTGTCTCCGCCTTTCTCCGCTACCCGTTGAGGATTTTAAAGACGGCGATGAAGGAGATGGGGTTAAGGCGAAGGGGGCGTCAGGCGGCCTCTCTACTCCCTCTAGGATAGCAGAGTCAGGCGGTCCTCGGGCAGCTCCCGACCCGGAAGTCGCCGCCGGCGCGAGGTCCCCGTTGCCGAGAGCGAGCGCGCGGGGCGGAGCTTGGCGAAGACGGGGAACGGGTAGCTGCGGCTCCGGCTCTTCGAGTTGGCGGCTCCCTCGGGCGCTGCCTCGCGGACGTGGAGTCCGCAGGGCGCGCGTCCGCGGATCCCGGGTGGCACGCTCAGCTGCGGGCAGAGGCGACATGAGTGCTGCGGGGCTGTTAGCTCCAGCTCCGGCCCCAGCTGGAGCGCCGCCGGCTCCGGAGTACTACCCCGAGGAGGACGAAGAGCTGGAGAGCGCCGAGGATGACGAGCGCAGCTGCCGGGGCCGCGAGTCGGACGAAGGTACGTTTTCCCGCGGGCCGGACAACCCCGGGCGGGGATGGGACAGCAGTGGGAGGGGGTGGGGCTGCCTGGGAGAGGGGCGGGGCGACCTCTGGGGTTTGGGGGCGGCTAGAGGGGCCGCCGGGAGGAGCGCGGCTCCCGGAAGTTATCCCGACAGGTGCTGTGGAAGGCGAAGCCCTGAGGACGTTTTATCCCAACAGTTATGCGGAGAAGGGCCTTAAGAAGCTGTTGTCAGAGCTGTAGGTCCCTTTAAGATTCTGCCCCTCTTCCCCCAGCTGTCTCTGAACCTCAGGTCTTCACTGGTTGGAATGAGAAAGCCATTCATTGGGTCCACGGAGTACTCCTCTCTGTTTAGTTCCTGAGAGGCTCAGAGCAAAGCCCGGTTTAGCTTTCTAGTTACCAAGGCGCCTCTCGCCCCCTACCCTGGGGAAATGCTTAAGTCAGCCCTACTTTGGGCAGTGCGGGACAGGTTGGTTAAAAGTACGAGGGCTGGAACCAGGCAAATCGAATTAGGTGTAAATTTGGCTCACTGAACCCAGCTTAATATTAGACAATTTATAATACTTAGCTTTCCGAGCCCCACTTTCGCCAACTGCAGTGAGGCTGTCAGTAGTACCTACTCACTAGCGTAGGTGCGAGAATAAAATGAGATATAGGCGTAAAGCATGTGGCTTGGTCCTTGGTCTAATACTCAGTTTTCACCATTGGGGAAACAGGCACGCGGTTGGGGGGTGGGAGATAGGGATTTGCTTAATGGTCCTCAGGTGTTGTGTTTTCAGTTCCACACTCTTTACATTATGATTATTGCCTCTGAGAGCCTGGCTTTTCAAACTGGGCTTTATAAGCTTGGTAAGTTTGAGGAACACTGGAATGGAGGAAGGAGCTGGCTGCAGGAGGAGAAAGATGAGGAAACACGAAAGGGCGAGAGAGAAGAAAAGAGGAGATAAAAAGAGATGAACATATGGGTGAACAAAATAGGGCCGTGGAATAAAAGCTAGGCCAGCTGTTTGGAATCAGGAGTATGTTTTATTCATCTCAGTTCCCCAAGTGCCAAGTACTGTGGCTGGCTGGCACGTGACTGCTCTGGGTCGGCTTCTTCACTGAAGGAGGGGGAAAGGTAGGTGGAGGATTGAGTCTGCAACAACCTTTAAAAAGTCAGCTGTGGGCTTCCCTGGTGGCGCAGTGGTTGGGAGTCCGCCTGCCTATGCAGGGGACACGGGTTCGTGCCCCGGTCCGGGAAGATCCTACATGCCACGGAGCGGCTGGGCCCGTGAGCCATGGCCGCTGAGCCTGCGAGTCCGGAGCCTGTGCTCCACAACGGGAGAGGCCACAACAGTGAGAGGCCTGCGTACTGCAAAAAAAAAAAAAAAAAAAAAAAAGTCATATGTATGTGAAGATACAAAATTGAAGAAATGAATTACAATCTGGTTAAACTACATTTGAAGACAAGGCTTAACCAGAGAATTTGAATGTGAATCACTTGTACTGTTTTTTAATGCCCACAAGGGGGAGTAGTGAAGCAAAAATTGATTTTTGTTCCCCCCCCTCAAGTAGGGCTGTTGAAGTTAGGTAGACACTCCAGCCGTTTGCTTATTCTAAAAACAATGTTTACGTAGAGGATGGACTTGAGGACACGGGGAGGGGGAAGGGTAAGCTGGGACGAAGTGAGAGAGTGGCATGGACATATATACACTACCAAATGTAAAATAGATAGCTAGTGGGAAGCAGCCGCATAGCGCAGGGAGATCAGCTCGCTGATTTGTGACCACCCAGAGGGGTGGGATAGGGAGGGTGGGAGGGAGACACATGAGGGAGGGGATATGGGGATATATGTATATGTATAGCTGATTCACTTGTTATACAGCAGAAAGTAACACAACATTTTAAAGCATTTATACTCCAATAAAGATGTTAAAAAAATTAAAAACAATGTTTAAAGTGTTCTGAAACAGTTTCTGTTTGATCTTCTTGTCTTGTTCCCTCTCCCTTTGAAAATATTTCGGTTATTAGAGTTCCTTTAATTGTTTTGGATTCTCCTTTGTATATATGATGTAAAATCCTTTAGGGGTTCAAACTGGCATTTACCAGAAGAGAATGTACATATTAGGTTGTTTAGGAGTAGTGAGCAGGGCTTGCTGCCTGTAGTTTTCCAGTCTTAACACCCACATATCCTTTAACTGAACTGCCAGCGTTGTTCCTTCTGAAGTCGCAGCCTTGACTGTGACCACCTGTGTCTTATGCACTCTGTTCTCTGGCTGCACTTCAGATAAAGGCAGGCTCTTTGGATAAATCTGGCTGTGTACAAGTTGGAAATGGCGTTTTCTTTTCTGAAGTAATTAGATGTAATATTTTTCATTGATGGCCTGCATTGAGTATAAATTCATTTTATAGAAGTTTGTGAAGTGTCACTGTGTCAGGTGATACCAACTCTACGAATTACGATTTTAACAAATCTTCCCTAATTTTTTACACAGACACTGAGGATGCTAGCGAAACTGACCTGGCAAAGCATGATGAAGAAGACTATGTAGAAATGAAGGAACAGTGAGTATGGTTTTTACATTTCTTCTTTGGAATACAGAATTGACAAGGGCATCTTTAATAGGGATTTCGTATGTATGGTTTTCACGTAGTGCTTCCAAAGACCATGCATATGTGTGCAATTTCCCCCCTTTAAATTTGTCACATTTAATCACTCTTCCTGTGATAAGAATCTTTTGAGGGAAGGCTAGAAAGAATCTGGAGGGAAATATTCCTGGGAAATAAGGCCATGTAACAGGAGAGAACCCTTGCCTTTTTTTTTTTTTTTTTTTTTAATGTGAAGACCACTGCCCAGAGGGGGGAAATGGTGTTTCACAGCTCCTTGGTTCTTAGATGGGCGTGACCCCTGAGCACTGACTACTAGCTGGACGGCGACGCCCGGAGAGCTCAGGGAGACCAGGATTGGAGAGCAGGGCTCCTGACTCCTCCAGTGCCCTTTCCCCTTACCCGCATCCGCACCCAGGCCTCCAGCAGAGCCACACTTCAGAGAAACTAAAACCACTCCCTCTAATCGGAAACTTATGGGCAAGACAGTGTAACAGAGATCTGATAAGTATGTGTGGAATGTATTTTGAGGATCTTGATTCTGTTTTTTAAATTCTTTACCATCAAACTGGATGATCCACATTCCTTTCCTTATAGAATGTTTTCCGTATACACGAATGTTTTGTGACCATCATCTGGATTCTGTCATCCTTTTCACGCTTTGGAGTCCAAAGGGGAAGCTCAGCTAGATCTGCCCAGTGCCAAATAAAGGATTGCTTTAATAATTGATGTGATTTTTCTCACAGCTTCAGCCCTGAAACTGTGCTGGCTTTTTATTTTACTTGTACTCTCTCCAGGCTTCTTACTGACTTACCTGGACCCATTTGAGATGTATTTTTACATACCTATTCTTTTTCCAAATCTGAATTTTGTTGTTGTTGTTTACTTCTTGAATCTGTTAATACTCTCTTTCAAAGACCGAGTAAGAATTCAAAGACGTAGTCTGGCACACTCACTGTGGTGGAAAATTACGGAAAATTAAACACCATTTCCCCCCTCTGGCCAGTGGTCTTCACATTAAAAAAAAAAAAATTAAATATTGGGTTCCAAATACTGACTTCCTGTGTGCAGCTTACTCATCCTTTCCCTCTCCTATACTTGGTGTGTTTAAGTGAACGTACCCCTTAATATTTGATGGTGTAGAAAATAATTTTGATTAAAATTGAATGCTCTATGTGATTCAAGATGAGCATTGAAAGCATCAGCATTCTCCCTAAAAGAATCAGGCCTTGAGACTTCCCTGGTGGTCCAGTGGTTAAGACTCCACTCTTCCAATGCGGGGGACACGGTTCCATCCCTTATCAGGGAAATAAGATCCCACATGCTGGGCAACGCAGCCAAAACAAAAAACAAAAAAGGCCTTCCGTGTAATTCTCAGATTCTGCCTACTCTTCCTCAGCCTGTAGACAGACAGGTTGTGTTTGCAGCCCTTACTGGAGTAATTGAGAGGCTGTTGTGCCAGTTACCTGTTGGACTGGTTGCAAGTCCTGTTTCTGTCACTGTGAAATTGGGGTTTTTGGGGGTTTTTTTTTTTTGCGGTACGCGGGCCTCTCACTGTTGTGGCCTCTCCTGTTGCGGAGCACAGGCTCCGGACGCGCAGGCTCAGCAGCCATGGCTCACGGGCCCAGCCGCTCCGCGGCATGTGGGATCTTCCCAGACCAGGGCACGAACCCGTGTCCCCTGCATCGGCAGGCGGACTCTCAACCACTGCGCCACCAGGGAATCCCAGGGGGTGTTTTTCTGGTAGAAGCGAAAATATTGCTGAAACGTGACTGACGTGTGAAATCCACCATTCAAACAGACTTACCAGGGTATATAATTGCCTATAATCCATTCAGCATGAGGGGGATGAAAACATGCCAGGTTCTTTTGCTTTGTGTGTACTGTGTGTTCTTATCCCACTGGGGCTGCAAGTAAATCCTGCATTTTAACTTTTGTTACTGAATTGCTGTCATTTCTCTGATCATAAAAGAGAAGTGTTTTTAAAAATGACGTGAAGGTTTATTAACGTAGTGCTTACACAGCAGTGCTATCCATATAGAAAAATATGCTGGAAGCATAGTCTTACTTCTTTGGAACTTATGATCTGATTGTAGAGTTGATATGAGACCTGCATTTAACACTTTTTACATTTTCGTTTTCGTGTGTATGTCACGCTTCTGAATCCCCAAGAAAATGGCTTCACACTTCCAGTCTTTCTGTGTGTGTTCTTGCCTAACTGTGTTTATCATTGTCATTTATTTATTTAAACTTGCATGTCTTCGTATTTGTAGATTTTAGACTGATTCTCTAAAGGTGAGAGAACACCGGAGAATCTGCAAAGCTGGGATACCATTCAAACCACAGAATCCTTGTCCCTTTCTGATCCCTTTAGCTGTGGGCACATTTTAAACCACCAGCAGACTTTAGTTTTCTCTCTCCCTAAGGGACATTAATGACATTTCCATAAAAGCCCAGGTAATTTCTGCATGTAGATTATTATTGAATTGGGTATTGGATGTTTTTGTCTCTGAGTGTGGCTTTCCTTTTTTTTTTTTTTACAGGATGTATCAGGATAAATTGGCTTCTCTCAAGAGACAGTTGCAACAACTGCAAGAAGGTTGGTGTGTGATTTAATCCTTCTTTCCTAAACATACTTCCTAATATCACACACCTTTGAAATCTGGGTATTTCACTTCTCAGTGAAGTGGGAGTGATTTAAAATTTGGTCTGGCTGATTTTAGCAGTCAGTAAAGTGGCAGTTTTCAGACTTTTTTTGCAATCTCAGTTAAGGCCTTCTGCAGAGCAAGAACTGGAAACTGCCATGCCTAAAGCTGGCTGTTTTTAGGAGAGATGCTGTTACTAAGGATAAATATAATTGTACTGTTCTTTCTAAACGGAATGCTAACGAGCTGTGGGTCGTTCTCACCGTGTTTTCTCTTTTTACTTTGTAAACTACAAGTGGGTCGTGTCTTGTCCAAGGCTGTTTGCTGTCAGAGGCAGTTCAGCACTGGGTGAAGAGCACAGACTCTCCATTCCTGTCGTGGGCTTGAATCCCACCTGCACTCCTTTCTAGAAATTTGAAATTGGGCATTTCACTGTCTCTTGCTTAATTTGTCTTGGGCATTTCACTGTCTCTTGCTTAAATTGTCTTCTAATCTGTGAAATGAAGAAACTAGAGGCAGGTGAGATTGTGTGTGAGGGGCGACCAGCACCGCTGGGCACCCGGTGACAGCCCAGCGTCGGTGGCTGCTGTCAGTAGCTCTTCGGCTTGCTTCTGTGGGGTCCCCGGCACTGAAACTGCTTCTCCATGAGGTACTTCCATTGCTTGGAGCAGCCCATCTTATATTGATTTCTCCTTCATAGTGAAACATGTTCCTGTGACTTGCAATCACACACCTTTGTTTTAGTTTTTCTTCCGATGGTAATGGAAGTATTGCCAGAGAAAGAAATACGTCCTACTCTAGCAGGTCTGTAAGGTGTGCCTGGCAGGGTTGAGTGGGGGATTTTGAAAAAGATACCATTAATATAGCCCACTGGGGACTTCCTTGGTGGCGCAGTGGTTAAGAATCCGCCTGCCAATGCAGGGGACACAGGTTCGAGCCCTGGTCTGGAAAGATCCCACATGCTGCGGAGCAGCTAAGCCGGTGCGCCACAACTACTGAGCCTGCACTTTAGATCCTACGAGCCACAACTACTGAGCCTGTGCTCCACAACAAGAGAAGCCACCACAATGCGAAACCTGTGCACCGCAACAAAGAGTAGTCCCTGCTTGCCGCAACTAGAGAAAGCCCGCACACGGCAACGAAGACCCAACGCAGCCAAAAATTAATTAATTAATTAATAATAAAAAATATGTATATATAGCCCACTGAAGCATTGTCATCCGAAGACACTTCCCACGCTAACTGGGACCCTCATTATTAGTTGCTCAGGGAAGAGCCATTTGCTCAGATGCTGTACTGAGCTGTCCAGTAATGTCACTAGCCACACGCGGCTATTTAAATTTAATTAAATAAATTTAACAATTCCGTTCCTGGCTTGCACTAGCCCCATTTCACGTGCTCATAGCCACATGTGACTCGGGGCTGTCATACTGGACAGGCAAAGTAGACCATTTCCACCGTCGCACAGCAGGTTCCACTGGGTGGCACTGATGCAGACCTTACTGAGGGAGGCTGAGCTTTCTCCAGGAAAGGGGGGCCCACAGGCCGAAGCGAGCAGCGATGGATGAGCGTCGCTGGTGGATGGGTGCAGCTTTCTCCTACTCCTCGCTTGCTAGGGGGTCTTAAAGCCACCGGTTGGGGTTTCTGCTCTGCATCTTGCTTGGGAACCAAGTTACCTCTACTCACGGGTGCCTTTCCGTGGTGTGTGTTTTACTCTAATGTTATTTAAAACATTCTGTGTCGGTGCTAGAAAACCAAAATGTAGAGCAGTTTGATCGTCATAGTAACTATTTTGTAAATCTCAATCAGGTACATTACAGGAATATCAGAAGAGGATGAAAAAACTAGATCAGCAGTACAAAGAGAGGATACGAAATGCAGGTGAGGCCCTCTCTTAACTGGAAATAAATCCTCGTCAAATTTTCCTCCTTTGGCTGATCATCGATTGGGACGTAATGTGGCCAGAAGAGCCATTCTCCAAAACATGTTTCAGCTATCCCATTGTGGGGCGAGTTTGGGGGAAGAGAGACTCCAAAGCTGCACTTATGTAGGACTGTTCATCTTCTTCCCCAGTGAGTGGCCTTAGGCTGCTGTCCTTTCACTTTCCGATCCATTGACTTTCCAGCTTTCTGTGGATGGAACCCTTCTTTGTTTCCTCCAGTGAGTAGATGCCCATGTCCATCAAGGCACAGAAAAGGAGCTGCAGGGAAGGTGGGCGATAGAGCTGCTGTGGCGACCCAGCACCCCTCTCCCTGCCCCTCTCTAAGTTCCTGAGGCATCTCCTCAGGCATCTTTAAAATCCTCAGCCTTCTTCCTGGAGCCCCTTTTCAGCAGGGAAAGGGGGTGGTGCTGTCGAGGCTGAGGTCCCAGGTTGAGGGCTTCCTCCCATCCCTTAAGGGCTTAAGCCTTTTAGCACGCTTCTGCTCTTGGAGCCTCAGTTTCCCCATTTGGAGAGAGCGCTGCTAATATCTCGTGGAACTGGTTTGAGATGTAAGGAGGGAAAGAAAATTGATGTGAGCCATTTCTTTTAAGTGAGAACTGCAGGGTGAGTGTTGATTTGTCTTTCTGAATTCTACTCTCAATCCTGTGCTCGGTGTCTTTCATAAACATCCCCACCACCCCTGCCCCCAGGTGAAAATGCAGAGGGGCTCCTGAATCAGTCACACCTTGAGCTTCAAAAAGCACATTTCGTGTGGAGCTGATCCACCTGCTCTTGTTGTGTCTGGCGTCTGGCTGCTTTGAAACAGCCACCACCTCCGAGAGTGCTACGTGTCGCTTGACTTGCTGGTGCAGAGGTGAAGTCTCCGAATGGCGCAGACTTCAGATACCTGGCCCGTTCACACGGGTACGGGTCTGCAGCAGTCAGGAGTGAGTGTGTTGGGCTGGGTGCACTTGGGCTCGTGTGCCTCACGGTTCCCGGTGCCAAGGTGATGAGGATTTCTGGGGGTTAGAAAATAGTGAGTGGCTGGTCCGTTTTCCTCAATTTTCTCATTCAGCAGTTGATGGATGTCTAGATTCTTCATCTCGAGTTCTTGAAACTCTCAAGGTTTTATGTGTGACTGTGCATATGTGCTCTTTTATGGCGGGATGGATCCATAGGATCCTTCGGGTCTGCAAAGGAGACCATGGTTAGATGGGAACAGTACCCCCTGGAGTTACCGCTCCACCAACAGTCTTTGTGGACCGTTTGCAGCAGCTCAGATGTCACCCCGAAAAGAAGCCGTGGACCTGTTTGGTTCCACATGCTCAGTGTGCACAGGACCTTAGAGTCGAGAGGTCGGGGAGCTGCTGAGTAAACAGGCGCTGATCTGCCGCGCAGTGGGTGCTCAGTAAGCTGCTGATACCGGGCAGTGGATACTCCGAGGTGTCTGAGAGGGGCTTGGTGAGCGAAGGGGCCTCAGAAGAGGCCTCAAGGAGGAGGCTGCAGTAGTCTGAAACACTGAGTTGCGGTCAGAGACCAGAGGACATCGCAGATGGAGGCCTGGGTGTGAGCAGAGCCGCAGGAGGGCTCGGGACCTCTGCACTCTGAAAGCTTGGGGAATGCCCTTCCTCACCACGCAGAGCCCTGTGCGAGGGGCTTTAAAAATATCCATGTTGCCTCTGCTTCTGGAGTAACTGCATTGCTCCTTCTCCCTGCCCTGCAGGACTGCTGAGGGTGTGTACTGAGTGGAAGAAGGGCTAGCTTCTAGCTCTTACTGGTTTCGCCAGGGCAGTTTGGTTCCTGCTCGCTTTCACCCTTGGGCAGAGCTGCCAGAGCGCATTCTGTTCCGGGTCAGATTTTAACTAGACATGCATGCTTCTCGCATCCTACCCCTTCACATATATCAGCAGCTTACTGACGGAAACATTTTCTCCTTGCAGCCGTGTTTTCAGAAAGCAATTACTGCTTCTAAATGAATCCTAACGTCACTGTCTAGAAAGGTGGCATAGCCTGGTGAATCTAATTGCATGTTTTATCTCTTTCAGAACTCTTCCTCCAGCTGGAAGTAAGTACCACGGGTCTTCTGGGCTTGCAGGCTCTTTCTGAGACTGGAATCTTGCTCTCCCAACCGATCCAATGGCCTTTCCTTCCATTACCACATAGACAGCTGGGAAGCCCCCCGGAAGCCTCCATCAGTGTTCTGTTTGACTAAAGGACATTTGGTCTCAGTTCAGAAATTCCATCTATTCGTTTGTTGGTTGGGCAGCTTCTGCTTATCACAGAGGGGCTAGGGGATACTCACACTTGACCGCTTTCTTGTGGACGCTTATCTCACATTAAAGCCATTTGGGAGTATGTCTGAATTACAATGGCCTAATAGTTTGTTATATTGGTCCTCAAAGCAGCCTGGTCTCTGAATTGGCTCCGTTTTACAGCTGAAACCCTGGTTGGGTCGGAAAGATGGATTAAGATCTTTCACTCAGCAGACGTCTGAGTGCTGGTTGCATGTGAGGTGCGGCGCTACAGGCAGAGATGAGGGCTGGAATCTTGGGTAATGTGCTTGCTCCCGGGAGGCTGGTGTGTGTGTGTGGGGTGCGGCGGGGTCATAGTTTATCAAAGCCGCGTTATGAGAGACGGTGTTAGGACTGAAGTCAGTGCCACACACGCGGCCACAGCCCAGGGGGTCACAGGGTCCACAGCCGTAGCCCACCAGGAGCCCCCTTGTTCTTCACTTAATGCAACAGTGAGATTTGGAAAATGGATGCGTACGCATTTATTTTACTCAGTATAATTTCAGGGTTTGGGTACCTCGGGATTCAGGCACCTAAGAAGTGATCCTCTCCTCTCATTGGCCTTTATCTTACTGTAAGCATCAAAAAAAAATAGAGTAACTCAGGCCGTCTTGACTTGGTATCCTGTAACTATTTTAAATATAGGTATTTCATCTGGAATGTACTATTTTCTTCGAAATTGTGTCTTCAAGAGGGTTTATTTACTGTTTCTGAGAAACTTACATTCTGTTTTCACATATAATCCATAAAATATAAGATGTGGAAGAGAGGAAATAGATCTGATTCACAAGTGAGGTATGCACATAAAAACCAGAAGTGTGGTTCAGTTTCACGCATTCGTTGGAAAACTTGCTCCCAGACACCCTGTTTCTGAAAGTTGGTGTGTTGACTGCAGCTGTTTCTCTTCTTTCTAGTAAACGTATTTCCTCTGTGCTTGTGCACAGAGCCAGGCTTTGTGTTGGAGCCCTGGCTGCCAGGGTCATGTAGCCTCAGCCTGTGTTTCTCTTTTGCTCAGACTGAACAAGTGGAAAGAAATTACATCAAAGAAAAGAAGGCGGCAGTGAAGGAATTTGAAGACAAGAAGGTTGAGCTGAAAGAGAACCTGATTGCCGAGCTAGAAGAAAAGAAGAAAATGATTGAAAATGAAAAGCTAACGATGGAACTGACTGGAGGTATGAAAGCACCACAGAGCAGGGTCCTGGGAGACCTGAGGGGGACCCTGGGGGGAGGGCGGTGCTCCAGTGCTGACTCCTGTTGGTTCCTCAGCAGAACAGAGTGAGCTGAAAGGAGGGTGGGCTTTCATACGGTGGGTCAGAGTTCTAGCTCTGTCTTGTATTGGCTGTGTGACTTCAGTCAAGCCACTTAACCCCTCTGAGCCAGTTTCCCCCTCTGTAAAATGGGGCTGATCATATCTTATCTCACAAGACTGTGGTTAGAAATACGAGTGCCTAGTACAGGGCCCTGTACATAACAGACGCTGGGTAAATTAAAGGGTAGATCTTTAATAGTGACTGCAACTTCAGGCTTATGCTTTATTTAATGTAATTCCTGGGTCGACTGCCATTCCTATCTTGGTTATATTCACAAATTACCCTGGTCCCTCTGTGGTGGTAGGAATCCCTCTGCTTGTTTTTTTCGTTCTACCTTCATTATGGAAAAAGCATTGTCTTCCTTTGACCTGGGTGTGAGAACAGAGGCTTTGGCTGTGTCATCTGTGCTGTTAGATCCCTTCGCCCCAGGTGTTACTGTGAACATTTCAGAAAGAGTTGTTACCATTTCAGCTGGGAGAGCTAAACTGAACTGTTCTCTTGTAAAGGCAGGAAAGTTACGTTAGACTCGGAGCCAGTCCCTCCCTAGCCTTCTAGGATTCAGTCATCCGCATATGGGAACTCGGCAGGTTGTAGGCAAGTTTAAGGGAGAGGCAATATGGGCTGCCTCTTCTGTTGCCATATGTAGACCAACAATGCTGAGAAGGGTACAGGATGGGAATTGGCTTGAACTAGCTATTTTGGAACTTGGCAAAATTTCTTTCCATCAGCAAATATCGCAAAGCACGTCAGTGGTGAGTTTGTCACTTGGGTATGTAAGTGACATGCCTTCGGCACACCCCAAAATTTCACTCTTATAATCATGTTCAGAAGGTCCTGGGGTTCTGGCATGTCTGATTTTTGTTGGGGTCCTTAAGAAATACATTGTTGTTATGTAAGTCCTTGGGGCTGACTTTGAAACTAAAAGTAACAGTTAAGAGCTGTATTTCCCCTTTGGTATTTCTGGTGCTGTTAGCTAACATGGACCTCCCATTGACACAAACTTCTAGCTCCAGTCCCCACGATGCACTGATGATCGTGTGGTTGCGTCTAAAGTAGGGGTCTGACTCTTGAAAAATCTCTCTTCTGATACACCGTCCTCATTGAAAGACTTGGCAAAAGGAATGAATTCCTTGCAGACCACTGACAGTGGCTCAGAAATGTGTTTTGGTGAGAATGGATGCTGAAACAGCATCTTCAGAACAGCACCGTCTTATTCTTGTTGAAATGTTTTTTTAATTAAACTGCAAGCACATTGGTACCTTGTCCGGTCCCAGTCGGTGTGCCTGTTTTCTGACCTGCACACCATCTTCTCCGACGGTGGCTCCGGCTGGCATTGACGCCTCATCGCTTTCCGTTAGAGCCACCAGATGCTCAGAGCCTTCATTAGGCTGGTGGGAAATATTGTCAGTTTATAGCTGCTCCCTTTCCATCTGCGGGGAAGGCTGTCATCACCTCACCTGTGATTTGGCAGCCTAATTATTGACAAGCGATAGACGTTGTTTGGCCAGGCAGTTTTACAGCTGGAATCTTAACAGGGACAGTAGGCATCCTCAGTGACTTGAGCGGCCAAACCTGCCAGGGTAGAAAAGACAAATAAATGCAGGGAAGTCATTTGTGATGCAGTAAAATAGATTACAGAAGTGCTTAAAGCTATAGCCATGGGCATTAAAGGTACCGATGTCCTTCCTCAAGCCGTTTGGTACCCTTGGTATGGAAAGCACTGCCAAGGTAATGATGGAGCGCCTAAAGAGAAGGCACTGGAGCTAGAAGGATAATGAGCGCTTCCACAGATGGTGCTGTTACGGTGTCGACTTAAAGGTCTGGTTTCCTTCCTCTCACCGAGTGACTGATTTCACTTCTGTGGATTGATGCCCAGTATCAGTGTTGCCTAGCTCTGCCCAGAAAACATACTTCCTAAAATCTCCTTCTCCAATTCAACATGAAGATCTCTTGAAAAACAAAGTGGAGTACGAGGCCGATGAGAAGCTTAAACCAGATAACACATTCGAAACAGGCGTACCCAGTGACCTGCTCTGTCCAAACAGGATTTCCGCCTTTCCAGCCATCTGTGGGAATTGGTGGGACGTTCTCTTCACCGCCTGAACCACTGGTGGAGAACCTGGGACAGCTGGGTTGTGCAGGCAGAAAGGTGTACTGTCAGCAGAGGAACTGGGATGGATTATAGGTCGGTGATTCCCCCACCTTGAATGTGTGTGTGAGTCAGCCGGGGGTCTTGATAAAATGCAGATTCTGGTTCAGGGGGTCTGGGGTGGAGCCAGTGATCCTGCTTTTCTAACCACCTCTCCGGGGCTGGTGATGCTGTTGGTCAGACCACACTTGGAGTAGTGAGGTTATAGGTAGAATTACCTGAGGGTGACTTTTCTCTGCAGTTGAGGCCACGGTTCTCAGTAACCTCAGTAATCAACGAGAGCTTCATGAGCTTGAAAACGTGGGGCACTCTATCATTTTTAGTTCATGTGTCCTCTTACCTTACGCCAGCCACCTTTTCTCCTTTCTGCCAACCGCCCGACTAACTGCCACTTCATCTTTAAGTTCTTGCCTCACCAGGGGCATCTTTCAACCTTCAGGCCCCTGTGGAAGTTATTCATGACCTCAGTAAAGCCTGTGAGGTTCCTTTAGAAGATACTGGATTCAGGGGACTTCCCTGGTGGCGCAGTGGTTAAGAATCTGCCTGCCAGTGCAGGGGACACAGGTTCGAGCCCTGGTGCAGGAAGATCCCACATGCCGCAGAGCAACGAATCCCATGCGCCCCGTGGGAGCGCTACTGAGCCTGCGCTCTAAAGCCCACAAGCCGCAACTACTGAAGCCCACGTGCCTGGAGCCTGTGCTCTGCAACAAGAGAAGCCACCGCAATGCGAAACCTGCACACCGCAACGAAGGGTAGCCCCTGCTCGCTGCAACTAGAGAAAGCCCGCGCACAGCAACGAAGACCCAATGCAGCCATAAATAAGTAAATAAATAGTTAAAAAAAAAAAGATGTTACTGGATTCATAGTGGGAGGCATGAGTAATGATAATATCAAATAGAAGCTCTGAGTGTTTACATCGAGCCAGGTATAATATAAAAATACTACAGCTGCCGCTGAAGGCTGACAGATGTGGTTGAATCCCAGCCCAGACGTGAACTTGGTTCTGTGGTGGAGTTTTGTCATTTGGCAAGGACACGATAGATCCCGCTGTGGAGGTTTGGTGTAGAGGTGAGAGGAGATGGTGCCCCGAGTGGCTGGCACGCAGAGTGTGCACTAAGGGCTGGGGAAGCTGTGACCTCATTGAGCTCCTGAGACTCCTGTGATGACTTGGCGGGGCAGGAGTGCAGGAACGGAGCCATTTGCTCCAGTGCCCCAGTGAGGTGGTGCTTAAGCCAGACTTGGGCCCCAAGCGTGTTCTCTTAACCACCGCATTATACTGACTCTAAATCCTGTGGACTCATGTGGTCCAAGTGCTTCACAGAATGAGGTTGATAGGGAAGTCTCTGTCCTCGAGGAGCTCATGTCCTCATAGTTACAAGACTGAGACGGTTTCCATGCCTTCCCCAGTGTGAGGTAGTTTTGAGAGAGGGGGATCCTAAATAAATGAAGGTAAAGATGTGTCAAGCTGGTTTTCACTGATTGTAAAACATCAAGAGGCACATGTGGTTATACAGGAGCAGATTCACCGGAACAGGTGCCCGTGAGCAGGAAGTCAAGGCGAGGATAAGAGGCCCCGCACAAATGTCAGGGGAGGGAGGATGGAAGAGGGGACCTGGATTTGGGGTGGGATGGGCTTGTCCCCACGATGTTCCTTCTTGATGATGCTGTTGTGGAATCCAGGCCATTGAATGGGGTTGAGGATGCAGAGCGGTGGGCCTTGATCAGTTCACTCTTGAAATGCACCTGTGTTACGAGCAGCTGTGGCCTAATGGAAATTGGTCCCTTCGTTCCTACCCTGGTTTGGCCCCTGATGACCTAACCCTGATTTTTATCCACACCCCCCACCCCACCCCCCACTTCAGGTCCCTGTTTGTGGTCACCATGCAGCCTGGATTTGTGATGTTGCCATTAGAGTGGGGTGTCCTGGGGTTTGGTCCTGGCCTTCAGTCCAGCCCCGTGGCTCGCTGCCCCTGGTTTGGGGGTAATTGCCCATCGGCTGCAGTGTCGGCTCTGCTGAGGCTTTTCTGTCACATTCTTACTTAAAAGGATGTTCCTTTGAATCCCTGCAACTAATTTTTTTTTTTTCAGTAGCTAAACAAGTGTGAGTTTGTTTTCATGGTGCAAGTATGTTAAAGTGAAGCTTTTACTGCATCTGTGCCCTGTAGGCGGGTGGGCTATTGGAGTGAATGACTCTGCCTTGAGAAGTGCAGAGCCAAAAGCCAGCCAGTACCCCATAGTTGTGTGTTAAAAGGTAATTAGCGTTATCAGGACTATGTCTCCATAGGGCTGTGGCTTAGTACTGCCTCATCCTGCGCTCCCATTTCTTAGCCAGCGGGCCCATCTGGAGAGCAGACCAGTAGGATTTACACGATTCAAGGCCACATATACACAGTGGTGTGGAGGGGAGTTGTGCACCTGGTCTCATCGCTTGCTTGGTGTTTTCTGTCACGAATGCTCCCCTGCCTCTGGTTTAATTGTTGGACGTTCAGTTAGATTCTGCACATTTTATCCCCACTTATTCACAGGAAGCAAACCTAAAAATAGTCCTCTGGATCAGGGAGGCTTTCTGGTTGAAGCCAGTTGGAGATGCTTTGTGCTTGGTGCATGATGTCCGAGAGGAAGCTATTTCCTGCTGGAGTGCCTTCTCCAGGGTGGCCACACTCCAAGGTCTGAGTTTCAGTTCCAGAAGTTTGGTTTTTGTCAGTGCACCTAGATTGAGCCCTTGGGGCTCCTGGCCAAACTTCCAGGAGACAGATGTTAATAAACCCAGCCTGACATATATACAATGGAATATTACTTAGCCATAAAAAAATGAAATTGAGTTATTTGTAGTGAGGTGGATGGACCTAGAGTCTGTCATACAGAATGAAGTAAGTCAGAAAAACAAATACCGTATGCTAAGACATATATATGGATTCTAAACAAAAAAAAAGGTTCTAAAGAACCTAGGGAGCAGGACAGGAATAAAGACACATGTAGAGAATGGACTTGAGGACACGGGGAGGGGGAAGGGTAAGCTGGGACGAAGTGAGAGAGTGGCATGGACACATATACACTACCAAATGTAAAATAGATAGCTAGTGGGAAGCAGCCGCATAGCATAGGGAGATCAGCTCGATGCTTTGTGACCGCCTAGAGGGGTGGGATAGGGAGGGTGGGAGGGAGACACAAGAGGGATGAGATATGGGGATATATGTATATGTATAGCTGATTCACTTTGTTATAAAGCAGAAACTACCACACCATTGTAAAGCAATTATACTCCAATAAAGATGTTAAAAATAAATAAAAAATAAACCCAGCCTGCCAGCCTGTTTCTTCTGGTGAGAAATAGAATTTCCAGGCCCACTCAAACCCAGGTGGTCAGCACATCCCATCTTTCTATGAAAAAATCGTCCGTAGAAGCCGACCATGCATATCTGGCTGGGATTGGAACAAAGTGAGTTAAGTAGGTAATCTTACTGTGTAGTTCCGGGCTGTGATACTTACATGTTGCTCTTCCCCTTGAATCACATCCTCCACCTGGACCCCTGGCCAGGACTGCTCCCTCCTCACTCACTCTCCTGGCTGGTGATGGGGACGTGCTAATTAATTTTAGCGGCTCCTTCAGAGCACCTTCCTTGTGCTGAAGTAGTCTTTTGGGTAAACTGATTAGGTTATTACCGTGACTAGACCAATAATGTGGATTGATTTTCACCATCTCATGCGGAGAATTCAATTATGCTTTCTGCTTTGTGAGTGATGGAGTTATTTTTTTCTGAGTTTTTTGGCCATGGTCAGACCGGCTTTTTCCCACATCCTTTCATCTCTACCTTTGCTTGCTTCCATCATGCATCTCCCACCCCTGGAGGGTAGGGCACACTTGGTGCCTTTTCTCTGGTGCTCTTTGGTCTTCCAAATTAGGTCTGAATGTTGCAAGCCTCACTGTTGACATTACTTTCCTTCAGGTGTATCACTTCTGTTCCAGCTGTTTGTGCCTTGACTTTTTTTTTTTTTTTTTTTTGTGCCTTGACTTTTCAAAAAGATCTTTGTATGATTTTTTTCCTGGCTAACAACATGATAATAAAAACTAGCATTGATTGAACTCTTATTATGCCAGGCACTATGTTGAGGGCCTCACATGTACCATCTCATGTAATCTTCACAGCACCCTGCGAGGGAAGTGTTATTGATATTTCCAGTTTATGGATGAGGAAACTTGAGACGTAAGAGTATTTACACAGCTTGCCTTATGTCACACAGCGGCCGCAGGGATACCCACCCACCCGGCCAGTAAGAAACTGGAGAAGGGTGGCATCTCAGCATAGGGTAAGAGGTGTCTTTTAGGGAGAAGGCCCCCCTTTCCCAGGGGTGGGTGCGTGTTTGTCCTCCTTCCGTCCCCACTTCTGAATACACCTTTATGAATGTTCACTAGGTCACTGGTTCTGGTCACTTTACCTCCATTCCTAGGGGAGAAAAGTCAGTATTGCCCATTTCTCTTCTTAAGAGCAACATGCAGACATGCCTTTTGACTTTGTTTGCACAAACCAAGGCCTCTCGGGTCTCGGGAGTTGCCGTGGTGGATGGGCTATGTTGAATTCCCTAAGGCTGTCCTGTCTGCTCTGCACATAGGATGCGTAGTCATGAATTAACTGCATCTCATCATCAGACTTGACCTCATCTAGTTGTTCTGCAGGAAACCCCGTGCAGCCAGCCCCTCCCGTGCGCCAGAACGATCGCTTGGCGTTGGGGTGGAATCCATGCATCTGCTGGGGGAGTGTCCCAGATGCTGGCGCTTGGTGGTAGGGGTTTGTACAGATGCTCTGCTTACTGGGAAGGCGGCGTGACTCTGGGGAAGCCATCACAGCAGGGGCAGTGTTGAGCTGCTCTCCGAGGATGTTGTGTAGGAGTTTCTGTGCAGAAAAGAGGAGGGTAGGCGGAGGGCAGCACACACAGGCTTGAAGCCATAAAAAGTAAGGTGCCCTCGGGTAACAGAATAGCTGAAAGCTTGCTCCCGGGCTCTGTGTGAAGGAAGGAGAAGGGAGGGAGACTGGAAGGGAGACACGGCCTTTATTCTGTAGCCAATGGCGAGCCATTGAAACATTTCATAGAAAGAGTGATGTGCTAAATGATCCGGTTCATGTCTTCCGAAGATCCCTTTGAGGGAGACAGGGTGTGATGAGGGGATGGAGTTGAGAGGCCGTTCACAGGCAGAAGTGTCATTATCTGGTGGGTCTGATGTGTGGGTGAAGAAAGACAAGTCACAGATGACAGTTGGCTCCGGCCGGGACGGGTGGGTCGTTGGGGAGATGACCTTGGGGCCTGAGACATGGGGAAGAAGTGGGTTCATGTGGAACCTGGAGGAGAGTGTGTTACGTCATGGGGTGTGGGATGCCATGCAGCGGGGTGGGTGGGGCTGGAACTGGTGATGGGAAATTCACCGGGATCCAGGCTGAGAACTGACTGGACCCCGCAGAGCACCAGTGTCTAAGGAGCAGGCCAGCAAGAAGAACTCCAAGGAGGCAGAGCAGGAGAGAAGGAGAGATCTGTGTGGCCGCTGCAGGTGGCAGGCGGGGAAAAGTGTGTGGTGAGGGGTGAGTCGAGGAGGAAGAAAGGAGGCCTTTCTCAGGAGCCCTCAGGGTATCAGTCTGGATAGTCAAGCAGTCACAAAAGGTTATAAAGTAAAATGAAAAGAGCCCAGGTTTGTAAATCTCATGTAAAAATGTTGGGCCTGAGGCCAGAGGCCTCTCAAAGGGCCTTTCATGCCGGTGGGCTCTAGTTTACCCACTCTCTGTGGGAACAGCGGGAATTAGAGATGACCCAAAGGTTCCTTCGATCCCAAGAGCCTACTGCTCTGTGGCCTCTTGATTTGAGGGAGAGAGAGGAAAATTTCTAGTTTCCAGGGAGCCGGAGAGATGCCAGCCGTGGCTGCAGTGGAAGGCTGCAGGGCGGGGCTGTGTCTCAGAGAGGGGTGTGCTCTTAGGTCAGCAGGTCTGAGTCTCCTGAGCACAGACCCCTCGAAAGTCTGATACGGTGTCTGACTCGGGCCATGTGTGGACCAGACGTCCCCGATAAAACACTTCTGATTGGGTGGCTCTGGGGCCGATATTCTTACACTGCAAATTCTTGCTGACTTCAGGTTGGAGTTGGATAGATTCACCCATTCCATTCTTGCCACAGATTCTATGGAAGTGAAACCCATCATGACCAGAAAGTTGCGGAGGCGACCAAATGATCCTGTCCCCATCCCAGACAAGAGACGAAAACCTGCTCCTGATATCCGTTGCATCAAGCCTTAATCACTTTTCTTCCTTTAGACTGTTGAATCCTTTGCTTTTCCATTCGATAGAATACACATGGCCGTGGTCCTTCAGAAATTGTCATGTTTGGCTGGAAAGCACATGTATTTATCCAGGAGGTAGGGGATGGCCATTTTATGATTGGAGTCCTCAATTGTTACTGCTTTGAGTGGGAGGAATTTATAGACAGCAGTTATTTGGAAAGGGACTCTGTGCTGGTTTTGACACTCACTGGGAGATTCATGTGCCTTAGATTTTCCCATCTGTGAAATGAGGACCGTAATACTTGCCTTTCGTACTTCAGTCAGCTATGTCCCCCAAACAGTGGATTGCAAACTGTTGTTTAATTAAAGCAAAAGATCTCAGTTGGACATCAAGAAGCCCCTTTAATCATAACAGTGGGAATGGGAAGGGGACACATGGGGGAGTGTTGTTTCCATCGTCTCGAGGAGATAATAAATAGCCATTTGTACAAAATGGTTTTGTTATTTGTCTGCCACGAGGAAGGGGCATAACTTCACGTTCCCTTCATCTTATCCACTGAGAATTGAAGCTGTCAGGCAAGATTAATCCTGTACCTGTGTGGAAGTCTCAGATCTTTGGAACAAAAGCACTTCACACATTGAGGATGAAGTTCTTTACTGTGGCCTGGGCTCTCACTGTTGTTGTAGTTACCTATGGAGTCTCATTTCACCTTCTTACCATAGAAGTTTGTAAGATGGCGGGGGATGTGAATTCTTTTAGATACCTGGCTCCATGACATTTAGTAGGAAGATCAAAAAGTTCCAAGAGGCAACCTGTAGAAACATGGCGGAACAGACTCTCACTTTGTAGATTCTCAAACCCTGGCACCATTTTGTTTCTTTCTATTTGCTTGGCAGCCATCCTTTTCAGACACGTTCCTTTAACTCTGAACACCCCAGCTAAACTATTTGTTAACAGATGAACAGATCATGGAGGATCTGAGAACGTTAAATAAGGTACAGTTCGATTTTTTTGATTCATTTGAAAGCGTAGGCTTGATGTGGGTTTTCTGCTTTATTTTGTTCTCATTGCTACTTGTTAAATCACTTTTATACCTTTGACACCTTACGTTGTATCTGAAATGATTTTCTCTAAGATTTTTTTGTTCTTCTTACAGCTGAAGTCACCCAAGAGACCAGGTAAGTGCACGATGTTGCTGGCATTCGTGCAATCTTTTTATCATATTGTTGGAAAAGCATGCGAATACCTGACAGGGAGTTGTTGCAGTTTTCCAAAGCAAAATGTTCATCATTTGCCTAAGAGCAGTCATCATGAAAACTGGAGTGGACCTCATGTGTACCCTCCCCTGATTTATTTTTTTTTAATCCTGCTATGTTAAAGTTACTTTGTCTTTTCCTTAGGATTTATTTTAAGAGAGACATTTCCTTCTTTGTAGGCATCAGGCATAAGATTTAAGTGCACATGCATTTCTGAAAATGAAACCAGAAGGGTTTTGCAGTGTGAGTTGCTTTGTGGAGTTCAGTACGAGGCACGCTTACCCAGTGGCTTTTCGCAGCTGCTTCTGGTAACGGCCTCTCGGGCTGCTCCCAGTCCCAGCTTACAGAGGAGACCCACCCAGTGTTCGGGGTGCTTCTGTTTAGAGCAGCACTTAAAGGTCGTTGCTAGGCTGCAAAATAGAATTCTGAACTGACAAGGCTTTTTTTTTTTTTTTTGGTTTTAAGCGCTGCGATTACTTACACATCCCTCTACCAGCCAAGTCTTGTGAAAGAAAACAAGATTCTTCTCGCTCTAGATAATTACCTTCTGAGAGCTGCCATGGTCCACAGAGATGTCCTGAGTTTCTGAAGGCCTGGTGGGGAGGGGGTTTTGTGAGTGTGTGAATTTAGATGATTTGAACCCACTGCAGTTATCAGCAGTGTGTTAGCTTGACTCCATACATGCCCAGTAACCTGCCCTGCTTTGTAATAAATATTTCTAGAAATGATTCCATTTTTATAAATTTAAAGAGATTTTTCTAGTTCTTGCCATTGGAGCTTCTGATGGTCAGTGTTGCTACAGTCCTACTCTGAGTCACCTTGGGCAAACCCCTTAGCCTGTCGGTGCCTTAGGTTTCAGTTTCCCTTCTGTGTGGTGAGGTTTCTCTTTGCCTTGCCTTCCTCACAGAGTTGCTTTAGGGATTCAGTTAGATGTGATGTACAAGAATTTTGTTGAATTCCCATTTATTACAACTGTAAGGACTTGATCATGATTGTTTCCCCCGTTTTAATAGCATTTCAATGAAAGCATGTTAGCTGGTGGACTCGCATGCTCATGCCACACTTAGTCATTGAAATGTCTCTTTGGTTCCTCCAGCATCCCCATCCTCTCCCGAACACTTGCCCGCCACACCTGCAGAGTCTCCAGCCCAGAGGTTTGAAGCTCGGATAGAAGATGGCAAACTGTACTATGATAAAAGATGGTATGTTCTTGGTAAACACAGATTACTCGTTAGAATCTCAAAAGAACCATTTGGAAATAGGGCTGGGGCTGTCTATAGTTGTTATTTCAGAGCGTGGCTGCTGCTTAACTAAAGGTAGAGGAGCATTTAGAAGTTGTCAGGAGTCTTGGATCCATACGGCTTTTTAGCTCTCTGAAGGCAGTGCTTCCCCAAAACGTCCTCTTCTAGTAGTGGCCCCCCTTCTCCCTCCATGCTGCTCTCACCATACTAGAACTTGTGGTGCCCCTGTAGACTGGCATCAGGGCTTATGTCCCGCTCTGCCGCCTCTTAACTGCACCCCTGTGTGCTAAAATTAATAGGAGTTCTGTGGAAGAAAGGATTTTGTGGTCAGATGAGTTTGGGGGAATGGCCGTGTTAGCTAAGACCAACGGGTTTCATCATTGTAGCACTCTGGGTCCTCTGATATGCTAATGTACACTGTGAATTTCTGAGATGTTATTAGGTGTTGTTTATTTGACTGAGGTACCCTTTTGCATGCAACATCCTCTAGCACGAGTGGTCCAGGAAAAATAATCGGGGGAGGTGTATCCTAAAACGTTACTAGTTTAGATTGAAGACGGTTTGAAACCTTCAGACCACCAGCGTTTTCATTGGGAAGAAAATGGCAAAACAATGTGAAAAACAAATACTCATGCATTTACTCTTTCAACAAATATTTACTGTTTGCTCTGTGACTAGGCATTCTCCTAGGTGTTAAGTCACCGGGACCCTGCCACCTTTTCTTTAAATTCGAATTTCTTCCTTTTATTCATTGCCCACATGCAGGCATAGTCTCACTCAGGTTAAGTCATGGCAGACACATAATTGCCTACTGCCTTTCCACTTGTTTATATGTTTTTCTGGGTTATTGTATGATCTCTGTAATTGTCATTTATAATGGTTATATGATTTTTTTGAGTTTCAATATATTTATTTAACCCAAAATTCCAAAATTAGAGTTGTGGTTATTTTGAATGTTTTGAGCTTTCTTAAAAAACCCCAACACTGTGTTAGCTGATAACCTTATAATATTGTATTTCTGAAGTTGGGGAAAATGCTTAGAGACCTCGTGATGCCTAAAATAAATCCGTTCCACCTCTGAGGCTGCAGTGAGTTAATAACACATTGGAAGATGAAGGCTGGCTCTGTCTGTAAACCGGATCTTTTTTTTTTTCTTTAACATTTTTATTGGAGTATAATTGCTTTACAATGTTGTGTCAGTTTCTGCTGTATAACAAAGTGAATCAGCTATATGCATACATATATCCCGATATCCCCTCCCTGTTGTGTCTCCCTCCCACCCTCCTTATCCCACTCCTCTAGGTGGTTGCAAAGCACTGAGCTGATCTCCCTGTGCTATGCATCTGCTTCCCACTAGCTATTTATTTTACATTTGGTAGTGTATATATGTCAGTGCTACTTTCTCACTTCATCCCAGCTTACCCTTCCCCCTCCCCATGTCCTCAAGTCCATTCTCTATGTCTGTGCCTTTATTCCTGTCCTGCTCCTAGGTTCATCCGAACCTTTTTTTTTTTTTTAGATTCCATATATATGTGTTAGCACACGGTATTTGTTTTTCTCTTTCTGACTTACTTCATTCTGTATGACAGACTCTAGGTCCATCCACCTCACTACCAATAACTCAATTTCGTTTCTTTTTATGGCTGAGTGATATTCCATTGTATATATGTGCCAAATCTTCTTTATTGTTTGATCTTTCAGTGGACACTTAGGTTGCTTCCATGTCCTGGCTACTGTAAATAGAGCTGCAATGAGCATTGTGGTACATGACTCTTTTTGAATTATGGTTTTCTCAAGGTATATGCCCAGTAGTGGGATTGCTGGGTCGTATGGTAGTTCTATTTTCAGTTTTTTAAGGAGCCTCCATACTGTTCTCCATAGTGGCTGTCAATTTACATTCCCAGCAACAGTGCAAGAGGGTTCCCTTTTCTCCACACCCTCTCCAGCATTTATTGTTTGTAGATTTTTTGATGATGGCCATTCTGACTAGTGTGAGGTGATACCTCATGGTAGTTTGGATTTGCATTTCTCTAATGGTTAGTGATGTTGAGCATCTTTCATGTGTTTGTTGGCAATCTGTATATCTTCTTTGGAGAAATGTCTATTTAGGTCTTCTGCCCATTTTTGGATTGGGTTGTTTGTTTTTTTGATATTGAGCTTCATGAGCTGCTTGTGTATTTTGGAGATTAATCCTTTGTCAGTTGCTTTGTTTGTAAATATTTTCTCCCATTCTGAGGGTTGTCTTTTCGTCTTGTTTATAGTTTCCTTTGCTGTGCAAAAGCTTTTGAGTTTTATTAGGTCCCATTTGTTTGTTTTTATTTCCATTTCTCTAGGAGGTGGATTAAAAAGGATTTTGCTGTGATTTATGTCATAGAGTGTTCTGCCTATGTTTTCCTCTACGAGCTTGATAGTGTCTGGCCTTACATTTAGGTCTTTAATCCATTTTGAGTTTATTTTTGTGTATGGTGTTAGGGAGTGTTCTAATTTCATTCTTTTACATGTAGCTGTCCAGTTTTCCCAGCACCACTTATTGAAGAGACTGTCTTTCCTCCATTGTATACTCTTGCCTCCTTTATCAAAGATGAGGTGATCATATGTGCATGGGTTTATCTCTGGGCTTTCTGTCCTGTTCCATTAATCTATATTTCTGTTTTTGTGCCAGTACCATACTGTCTTGATTACTGTAGCTTTGTAGTATAGTCTGAAGTCAGGGAGTCTGATTCCTCCAGCTCCGTTTTTCGTTCTCAAGATTGCTTTGGCTATTCAGGGTCTTTTGTGTTTCCATACAAATGGTGAAATGTTTTGTTCTAGTTCTGTGAAAAATGCCATTGGTAGTTTGATAGAGATTGCATTGAAACTGTAGATTGCTTTGGGTAGTAGAGTCATTTTCACAATGTTGATTTTTCCAATCCAAGAACATGGTATATCTCTCCAGCTGTTTGTATCATCTTTAATTTCTTTCATCAGTGTCTTATAGTTTCCTGCATACAGGTCTTTTGTCTCCTTAGGTGGGTTTATTCCTAGGTATTTTATTCTTTTTGTTGCAGTAGTAAATGGGAGTGTTTCCTTAATTTCTCTTTCAGATTTTTCATCATTAGTGTTTAGGAATGCAAGAATTTTCTGTGTATCTTTAGGATTCTCTATGTGTAGTATCATGTCATCTGCAAACAGTGACAGTTTTACTTCTGATTTTCCAATTTGGATTCCTTTTATTTCTTTTTCGTCTCTGCTGTGGCTAAAACTTCCAAAACTATGTTGAATGGTAGTGGTGAAAGTGGACAACCTTGTCTTGTTCCTGATCTTAGAGGAAATGGTTTCAGTTTTTCACCATTGAGAATGATGTTGGCTGTGGGTTTGTCATATATGGGCTTTATTATGTTGAGGTAGGTTCCCTCTTTGCCTACTTTCTGGAGAGTTTTTATCATAAATGGGTGTTGAGTTTTGTCAACAGATTTTTCTGCATCTATTGAGATGATTATGTGGTTTTTATCCTTCAGTTTGTTAATATGGTGTATCACATTGATTGATTTGCGTATATTTAAGAATCCTTGCATTCCTGGGATAAACCCCACTTGATCATGGCGTATGATCCTTTTAATGTGCTGTTGGATTCTGTTTGCTAGTACTTTGTTGAGGGTTTTTTTTTTTTTTTTTGCGTTACATGGACCTCTCACTGTTGTGGCCTCTCCCGTTGCGGAGCACAGGCTCCAGACGCGCAGGCTCAGTGGCCATGGCTCATGGGCCTAGCCACTCCGCGGCATGTGGGACCTTCCTGGACCGGGGCATGAACCCCTGTGCCCTGCATCAGTAGGCGGACTCTCAGCCACTGCGCCACTAGGGAAGCCCTTGTTGAGGATTTTTGCATCGATGTTCATCAGTGATATTGGCCTGTAGGTTTCTTTCTTTGTGACATCTTTGTCTCGTTTTGGTTTCAGGGTGATGATGGCCTCGTAGAATGAGTTTGGGAGTGTTCCTCTCTCTGCTGTATTTTGGAAGAGTTTGAGAAGGATAGGTGTTAGCTCTTCTCTAAATGTTTAATAGAATTCTCCTGTGAAGCCATCTGGTCCTGAGCTTTTGTTTGTTGGAAGATTTTTAATCATAGTTTCAATTTCAGTGCTTGTGATTGGTCTGTTCATATTTTCTGTTCCTTCCTGGTTCAGTCTCGGAAGCTTATGCTTTTCTAAGAATTTGTTCGATTTTTTCTAGCAGGTTGTCCATTTTATTGGCATAGAGTTGCTTGTAGTAATCTCTCATGATCCTTTGTATTTCTGCAGTGTCACTTGTTCCTTCTCCTTTTTCATTTCTAATTCTGTTGATTTGAGTCGTCTTGTTTTTCTTGATGAGTCTGGTTTATCAATTTTGTTGGTCTTCTCAAAGAACCAGCTTTTAGTTTTATTGATCTTTGCTATTGTCCTTCATTTCTTTTTCACTTATTTATGATCTGATCTTTATGATTTCTTTCCTTCTGCTAACTTTGGGTTTTTTGTTCTTCTTTCTGTAATTGCTTTAAGTGTAAGGTTAAGTTGTTTATTTGAGATTTTGCATGTTTCTTGACGTAGGATTGTATTGCTATAAACTTACCTCTTAGAACTGCTTTTGCTGCATCCCATAGGTTTTGGGTTGTGTTGTTTTCATTGTCATTTGTTTCTAGGTAATTTTTGATTTCCTCTTTGATTTCTTCAGTGATTTCTTGGTTATTTAGTAGCATATTGTTTAGCCTCCATGTGTTTGTATTTTTTACAGCTTTTTCCTATAATTGATATCTAGTCTCATAGCATAGTGGTCAGAAAAGATACTTGACACGATTTCAATTTTCTTAAATTTACCAAGGCTTGATTTGTGACCCAAGATATGGCCTATCCTGGAGAATGTTCCATGAATGCCGGAGAAGAAAGTGTATTCTATTTATTTGGATGGAATGTCCTATAAATATCAATTCAATTCATCTTGTTTAACGTATC